TTAACTATGCTGATGAATATTGAAGACAGTCGCGGTACGTCTGTATTTCTTATCTCTGTTATACTACTTCTCCCTGCTCTCTTCTCTTCCTTCATGGTAATAAAGTATCATTCGGCACTAACAGACTATCATAATATGCATGAGTTGTTTTTTTTACCCTCCCCCTAGTTGGGGGGGGGGGGGCAAAAACAAAAACAAGACAAAACAAAATAAAACACAACAAAACAACCAAAAATAAATCGGTTTTGAAACGCAGCTGGCCCCCTCAGGTCTCGAAACGCACAGGTCGAATGAGCAACAGGCCGGCTTGATTTTTATGAGAAATCATAATAGTATTGGGCCGCAAACGTCGACCGAGGGGGCCGTGTCCTATTTATGAGCCAGGCGAGCCGTCATAAAACAAGACTGGGGACAGACCGTTCGACAGCCATCCATCAACGTTAGGACAAACACCAAGGCGGGAGGGATAGATGGAGGGAAGAGGTGTATGTGTGTGTGGTGAGGGGGGGGGGGTAAATGGTGGAGAGAGGGGTGCTAGGGGTCATTGCAGGTTGCGTCCTATGACTGACCTGAGGAGGCGCGCGCGAGGGGGTGGGGAGAGAGAGTGAGAGGGGAGAGTGAGAGGGGAGAGTGAGAGGGAGAAAGAGAGACAGAGGAAGAGGAAATGAGAGAGAAAGTGAGAGAGGTGGGGAGTGAAAGGAAGAGAGACTGAAGGAGAGGGACAGAGAGAGACAGAGAGAGAGAGAGGTGTGTGTGTGTGTGTGTGTGTAAAGGAGTAGGGCAATATTTCTCTTTCTCAACCTTTTGACTGCCAAGCGTATACATGTATATTATGAAACGGGAGCTGTGCTGCTGGTAGGTACGGTACTAGTATACGTCTTTTATGTCCTTCTATTGTTTCCCTCTGTCTACCTTACTTGTTATCTGCACTAAATAATTTTCCATAAATCGATATTCTTCTCTTTACTCAAGCAAGCAAACAATCAAACAATCAAGCAAGCATTGAAGCAAGCAACCAAACAAACAAACAAACAAGCTGGCAAACTTACATCTTAGTCTCCTCTGTATATATTCTGTAGAAAACTAAACCTGGATCCGTGGGTGGTTTGAGAGTGCCTCGTGTTAATTCTGCTTTTGTAATCTCCGTCTTTTATTTCAGTCTATCGATCTTTCTCTATCTTGGCATTAGTTGACCGACATTATCATTATCGTATATGCGTGCATCTGTACTCAAACTGAACTAGATCTACATGATTTTTGGGGTTGTTTTTTGTTTTCGTTCTTTTTTTTGGGGGGGGGGTAAAATATTTAGTCCAAATTACGGTGCATGTGTGTTTGTGTGTGTGTGTGTGTGTGTGT